TGTTTTTTTCTGTAGAGGTCCTATTACCAGAATTCAGAATTCAATGCTACATGTAACTACTGTGACTCTGCGTTGCCTGGTGCAAAGCTGGTACCAATTACAAATCCTATTTGATGAAAAAAATGAATTTTACATGTTTGATGTTCATTTAAGGATACCACATATTAGAGTCAGTAAGGAATTATTAAGTGAGAGGTGAGGTTGTATTTTTATCACCTCCACCAATGATCTGCTCATTTCACAAGTCTGAAAACTGAAGATTTTGAGTCCTTGTGCAGGAGCATGTGCATGCAGACAATGATCATTATCTAAAGATTGGTTCATACTGAAAGACTTAAGGGGCCTTTCACATTAAGCTGAGCGGTGCTGTGACCAAGATAATGTGTAGGCTACATAACAATCAGCAGTACACTCAGCTAGCAATGGCCTTGTGCACCCCTGCAGTGGTCCAATTCAGATGCTCAAGCAGAAGGTTGATTTTAACACCAACAGAATGAAGAGTTAGGAAATTACACCACAGAACTACTCTTTTTAAAACAGCTGGGCTTTTAAACAATCAGTGCAATTCTGTTATTTTCTTTATTTTCTTTGCTGTTGCATATGATCAGTATACCATTTGTTCTGCCTTGCCGATTACCTCCAACAGCCTCAGCAAAGTCTCTTTAAAGTTTAAAGCTACAGGCCATGTACTGTATACCATCCCTATTTAGTATTTAGTTAGCAATATAATGAACCAAAAATAAATAAATCGCTTCTAACACACAATAACAAAGAGAGCAGGAAAAGCTCACAAATGAAGACTCATTTACAAAAACAAAAAGAGAACTGTCCAGAGAAGATTAAAAATATTTGACAGGAGCCTGTTAATTCCTTTGCGCATCAAACTAATTAGAGAAGAAAATAGCAGAAGGGAAAAAAAACAGTACAATAAAATCTGTAAAATAGTCTTTTGTTCTTGCTTACAGTGGTGCTGCACTCTAATTTTACTTGCAACGTTGCAATTTCAATTACAGTCACATCCACCTACAGGCTGAGTTTAAATTAAAATTCAGAATCTTCTGGCACATTTTCTGTTTGCTAATTTCTCAGGTACTTGTTAACCCAAGCTTCCAGGAAGAGCATATAAGAGAATACAACAATGGAAAAATTGAGTGACAACAGGTACACAGGACAAAACAATTTGATGTCAACATTTATATACAGTACTAATACTTATGATACAATATTCACTATAGACCTGAATACACATATTTTCAGGTCAGGGATCAAAACAAGTATTTGTTTTGAAGGGAATTCATTTTTTCAACTTGGTTTTCTTTTTATCTAAAGGAAAATAATGAATCACTGCCCCACATACTGGCTTAAATTCAGTAATACTTTTCTGTGAAACACTTCAAAACAACAAATGACTCCAGCGCATTATCCTTAAAGAGCATCCTTTACCACCACATTGATGTCTGCAGTACTCAGCCGGAATACAGATTTTAAATCCGCCTACTCTGATTTCCTACACAGATCATGCTTTGTTAATGACAACAGCTTTGATGTTAGGCATGTAAAAGACATATTCATAGTTAAAATGTTATATAGAGGTAATATATTTTTAAAGAAAAGGTCACAACCATTCAATGAAAATTCTATTTGATGCAGAGGCAATCAAGGATGATAGGAATAATATCCATTTGCTATTTTGCAAAGTCCTGCTTCATTGCTATTTATGTCTGCATCTGAACACATAATTCGACAATATTTTTGGATATCTGGTTTGATTTTTGGTTTTGATAGTCATGGAAGGGACCGAGACAAAGTATACCAAAAGGTACTGTCAAGGTCTCTTTTCTAGCATTCTAAGACTACTGCAGCAATATCCAAAAATTAAAAAAAGACAAGTATTGGCAAAATAAAGTTTTCAATAGTGTTATTTACTCATTTAGTAAGTGGAATAATCATTTGATAAACTATGCTTGAACAATGCTATAAAAGTTTATTTAACTCATATCCATACAACCCATTGGTAAATAACATACTGTAACTTTGTGAATATTAATGCAGGACATACTGTACCAAAGAGTGTGTATATTTATTTCTGCAACTCTGCTGATGACTAAATACACGGAGTGGGGGTACTTACTGCAGTTCTGCACTATTTTGCATAAAACGCAGAACTCTTTATTTTGCATTTTTCTAAGTTTAATAACATACAATAACAAATGTTACAAATAAGAGGATGGCATCTCATGCATCTAAAACATATGTTTGCTGGTACAGTAGCTGATTGATCTGAAAGTATTAAATCATCCATTTCTTCAAAAAGGCTAGGGCATCAGCTGGTTTGTAAGATGTTCCAGACGCCCACAACCCCTTCTGGAAAGATACCTGTGATACATTTTTATATGCACCTCTTAAAATCACTGTGTTCCTTATGGCTCATGAGGAAAAAACAGTTAACCAAACCATAAATAGACCAACATGAACATCCTTTGTATTGAAAATCTTAATTACCACTTCAAGCTTAAACCCATATAAACACAAGAAATTAACAGATTCATTGCTTCAAAAATGTAGACTTAAATAGTTCCTTTACTACAGAAGGAATAGTTTGTTTACAGATACTACTTTACAGATATGTGACTGTGATCTCAATCATGAGATGCTGAAGTCTTATAACAGGCTGAAATTTAAGATCTAATTAGTGTTTAGGGAAATGCTGACATTAGTAGGCTTGAATGGATTTTGTTGGCAATTTGACTTTACATCAACCTGCCAAAAAGGCAAAACGGGAATTAATACAGCATGGAGATTATCCCAGCCCTGGTTATTGCACTGAACATCTCTTGCTGTGGCTTGCTTGTTCCAATGACAGTTAATCAGATTTACAGCAGTTCAGCTTTTGACAGGATTTCATGACGATTTGGATTTCTTTCAATCTCTTATCTCCCACGTCTCATTACTTGGCATTCTGACAAGATTTTTTCTATCAGGTTTGTAATGCGTCTCACTTAACGTGTGACTTTTGTCAGCAAGCCCCCCCCCCAAAAAAAAACAACTGGGGCCATGTCAAATTGGGAGGAAAATAATAACTGTAATTTTAATGGTGAAAAATTTCCCAGGAGTGGACAATATTGCATTTTTGGTTACATGAAGAGATTTGAGAAACTATTATCCTCTCCAATTAAACGGTGCCTGCAATCAGTGAATCACACGTTTTGATTGAAAAAGGCAAAACAAATATTGCTTATGCAGGTGTCAGGGGTGAACGGAGCACCACACACTTAAGGTATTTTGTCGCATCATCTCAGTTTTAAAAAAATGATTCACACCTTGCAGCACTGCTCTCCACAATAATCCAAGATATCCATTTTGCAAATGACCTGTTTTCATAAAACACAAAGCTAGTCTTGTAAAATCCAACACAAACTCTGGACTTTGTTCTATCTGCCACTAAGAATAACCGATTGGGTTTGTGAAACCACCACCATCTTAATTTTCAAGGGCCCAAGAATGACAGTGCTGTGAACGTTGACCGCAACCACATTAGTATTAATCTTAATGTGAAGAAATAAAGGATTTGGGGCTTAAAATATTTTTTTTTCTGACCAACAGCAAATGTTTGTATTTAGTGTTCTCAAAAAAATCATATTTAGATTTCTATATATTTCATTTATCAAATAAATCCTTTCAATCAATTTGTCTACAATGGCCATCTAAGATTATTAACAGTTAATAATTCAAACTTTAAATTTGACATTTGCAACATTTTCCTTCAAATGTTATGCTTAGTTATGGAAATTACACAAATTATCATCTGTACAAACAGTGAGACCTGGAAACTGAACCATAGTCTCAGTTAACTTTTGAGAATGCCCCACCCATTAGACATAAAAGACAAAATCATTGTGATACAAGACCACCCTTCTCCTTCTTTGATGTCTGAATGTTCCTGGGAGTCAACATCAATGTACTGTAACAGTCACATCTTTCATATAGAACTACAGTATTAGACTGAAACCATTTTGCTTTAGCCAGGCATAGTTTCTCTTTTGGGGTCAACCAGCCCAGCATTTCTACTGATTTGAAGCATTTTGTGCTTTAGTTTTGCAGGAAGTACTAGCAAGTTTGCTTTAGATGCAGGATGTTTGTAGATGTGTGTACTGTATATCATAATTTATTGTATATGCCTCATGTCAACCTTTATCCTCGTAAAAAAGTAAATAGGATGCAGTACATGCATCTGGGCTGTAGATGCAGTAGTTTACAGGTTTATGAAATAACTGAAATTTCAGGGATAATTACTGCACAGTTTTTGATAGTCTCCCCGACATAGAACCCACCCATTTAAGCAAAAAGAAGGTCAAAATCAACATCTGTAACAGAAATCCAAGGAAATATTATTAGACTACATTATGACAGTTGCAAAAAATAAAAGATACATTTTTTATGTATGTCTCCCAAATGCACACAGAGCCAAAATAAACTTTTTAGCGCAATAAACCATGAATCCACAAAGCATTCCTTCCATGTTTGATGACACTATAAATGACTAATTTTCTACAAGAAAGACAATAACACCAACATTATTCTTGGAAAATTGCTGTTATTCCACTCCAAAGTTCAGTAGCAAAACATTTGAGACAGTTATGTGACAAGGAGCAAAATCAAGTCCTTAGGGGACAGACATCTTTCCAACATTTACTCAAAAAAAGTAGCAGAAGACAAGAAAAAGCACCCTAACATGAACATATAATGCTCCCTGACAACTGTATGAACCACAAAGCATTTTTGATTTGCACAGTTTCTTACAATTCCATTCACATGCTTTAAAATACTTTGATGAAATGCCTAGGCCTTTTGTTTAGTAGCATATTGTGCTTTGTGTGCAAAATATTATTTTTCAAGGCCAAGTGAAGTTGAAGAAAAGAAGCCTTAGCTGTCAAAAACCAAATCAAATACTGCTTTAAACACAGAGGTAAAAAACTTTTAAGGCTTAGGTATCAACCTACCTTGAATAGTTGAAGAGCCTGCTGTCCCAAAGGCTGTGTTCTCCCCGGGATCCAGAGTGGAAAAAGCAAGAATCTGTGCCATCAAAGCTGTTTAAACCATCCTCTGTGTTTTTGGAAGCATGGCTGTGGACTACATCAAGTAGGACGATGATTCCCATCGAGTGCGCAGCATCGACCAGCTCTTTCAGCTCCTCAGGATTGCCATAGCGGCTATGAGCAAGAACACAATTCAAAGGTCACTCAAAATGGAAGCGTTCTGCTGCCACAGATTATTTCAAGCAACTTTTGTGAGAGGGGAAAGGTGGGGGGGGGGAGCAAGCTGATAACTTATGGATTGCACTGTCATAGGTTTTTTTAAATAACTTGTATCCTTCACTTGCTTTTTTTAACTGTACTTCTCCGGATTCCTTCACAGGTTAACGACTTTCAATTTTAGGTTAAAATATGCACTTTCACTACGCGGGTAATCGTGAGGAATAGCAAGGCCAGCAGTGATGCTAAAAAAAATGCAATGAAAAACAATACAGTGTATCTATACAGCACCTTAAGGCACAGACTTTCCAGAATTGAGAAACTCAAAATGACAAAGTACAGAGGTACTGTACATTCAGAACTAATATCTATATATACTTCAGGGTCCAGCAAAAGAGTTTTTATGCAAAAAAAAATGAATCAGACATTTCAGAGTTAGAGAACAATGTGGAAAGGAAAAATGTTTAGGTTAGTGATATTCTGTGGTCACCAGAGATTTATATACAATATATACCGTACCTGTGTGCATAGTGTATATAAAGTATATACTGGTGTGTAAAGGACTTTGAACTTTTGTCTTGTTCTGCTCTTTTTCTTTCTTTATGCAGAAATAATTCAATGGTGATTTCTACTAGAAATTGTAGCCATTTGAAGATTACAGATAATCTTATGAGAGATGATTTTTTATGAACAAAAGGCAGCCTTTTAGGTTAATTGATGAGTAGACAAGAGCAAATTATTCTATAAGACAAGGAATAATGAGTCAATTACATCTGAACAATTAATGTGATGGATAAGATTCTACAACACTTCATACTAACAGCTCATGTACAGTTTACTTTGAGGTTTCTATATACAGCACACATACAGTACAAATACATGTACTATATACACATTCATAAAGTAAAAAAAAAAGACTCAAAAAAGTCTTAAAATATAATATATATATCCAATATCATTAATGTTTTTAATACTTTCACAATGTCCTCAGTTCGAGAAGATGGCAGTTTGAGGCATTGTGAAACACATTGCAAGGATCATAAACATGCAACAGTCTATAATTCAACATGGCCAAAACTGGAGATTTGTCAGTTTCCGTGGAGGTCTCATACTAAGGAGGAGGTCAGCCATTCACAAAGTTCTGAGTTAGTTGAATTTGTTGTCCACACATTTTTTTTCGCTAAGACATGATGTTCAATTAGTAGTGACTTAGGTTTCAAGCCAGAAAAGTATGTACCAGTTAAATAAGAAATGAATTGCTTCAGCTTGGAACAAATACAAGTGGAAGGGGACTTTTAATTAGGTATTCAAAATCCTGAAAGAAAGAAGTCAGGCAACCCCTGCAAGCATTTCAAGGTAGAGAGAAACTATAAGTGGAGGGCAGATGTGAAAACCATTCCTTTTCTTATAGGTTCTGAGCATGAGCATATGCAGGCAACAGAACTTCTTCGCTCACAGAAAAGGCTTGTCCAGATTTCCACTTTGGAACATATACAGTAAATGCTTAATATCTGCATCTATTAAAATATTAAACATCAGGGAGAGAGAAGTTTTAGGAACTTTTAACTTATTACCTTATACTGTACAGTATGTATGGTTTCCGATCAAACCAGCCTGCACTAAGGCTGATGATGAGGGTGAAACTGACAAAACAAGTAGTATTCGCCTACCAATATTTCACAGTGATGAGAAATGCACATTAGGTCTCATTAGAACTCACTCTTATCACTGTTCGCAGAGAACCACCATTTTCTGGTGATGGTTTCTAGTATTTATGTTAATGAATGCATGAAGCTCCTTAGGACAAATAAAGTCATACTGTCAAAGCATTTTTTATAAAACCTGCTTGGCTTGTTTTTCTAAAACCAATGGTCACATTTCCATGAACACTAACAAACATTGCTGATCATTAATGTGAAATTATACTGTATTTTCAATTAAATGAATGCTTGTTAACAGGGGGCTACAATATACCTGTCCTTCCCAAGAAGAAATAGAAATATTATACATTCTCTGCCAGTGCCTAGAAAGATGGAGATAAGCCCTATTTTATCAAGAGTTCCTTATGTATACCCTTCATGTAATTGTCTTCTGACGTCTGATCCTAACCAGCATTCATAATATCAGTTTTCCTGCAAACACAACATGCTGAGATAATATTACTCTGCTTTTCCGAGAATCTGGCCAGTAAGGTTTTAAATGGCTATGAATGATCAATCATGAGTGAAATTACTCTGTATGCATTACACTTTATCTATAAAATATTCTCTGGCAGGATATGGCTGCTGCTGCAAAGAGGCACATAAATAAACTGTTGACAAATCATCCATTTATTAAGCTAGGCTCCTCGCTGCTTTTACCAAGTGCGTTTTCAGCGTTATTTTTGGGACTACCTTTATCTAGGACGGCTTTCTTTCAGGATTAGCAGTAAATGTGTTTACAGGAAGATTACCACTCATGTCAGAGTCCTTCACAATGATTTAGTGTGCTAGCTGCTGCCCATGTATTTAAAATCTGGAAGAAAGACTCAAACAAGTGCCTTGTGGGAAAATGAAAAAATAAATCATTAAGATTTTGATACACATATGTTCATGAATGTATAGAAAATTAATTGAAAAGTGTGACTTTGCACTACTGAGCTTGATTTCTTCATCTCTGTTGTATATCCTTCTGAAGCCCTAATGAACCTTTAAACTATAATCACAATAAGGTTGTATTTGAAGATTAATGAGATATTTGAGAGTTAATAGATTTAAAATGCTGTATGAGAGTTAAGAGATCCACCGCATCCCCCCATTTTCTAATCATTATATCCAATACAAGGTTTTAGGGGAGCTTGAGACTATCCCAGTTAGCAACAGGTACAGGGAAGGATACATCCTGAATGGGATGCCAGTCCATTGCAGAGGGAGAGACATTTTCACAGAGATAGAAATTGATCCTTTGACATAGCAAAAAAAAAATCAGGTACAAACCGATTATTTTTTAAATCTTTCATTACATTGGCTATGTATGCAATATGTACTGTATGTAGAGGTAATGGACAAAGAAATGAAAATACAGTTCCAGAATAAATAAGAGACACCAAGTAACAAAAGCAAGAGCTTCCTCACTGGTATAGTTCATGCATAAATAACATCCCAGCATACTTAGAGTAATGAATAAAATTGGTGTACAGGCTGGTTGTCTATAATTATGTTTAGCATGACAGCAAGAGGAGACCTCATTGATTTTGAGAGCTGCTTGGCAGACCAATACACCTCAACTTTCTGATATTTCACAAGCAACAGTGTCTAAGGTGATACAAGAATGGAAATCCAAGGGAGAGACATCATCAGCAAAGGGGGTTGAAGTATATACTTCAAAGGGCACCAGTGGTTGGATGTGCATAGTCTGAGATCATATTAATTTGAAGTATAAGGCGAGCAACTGCAGATCAATTGACTGCAAATTTAAACCCGAGGCACTCACAGCCAGTTTAATCAAAAACTGTCTACCGAGAACTTTGTAGAGAATGATGACTCATCACATCTGGCAATGCACGTTTATGAGTCCATTGGTGCACAGAGAACAAGCAATGGACAACTGAGCAGTGGAGAAATGAGCTACTATATGGTCAGATGAATCACCCTGAGCAAGAGATGAGTGTATGTGTAATGCCAGCCTAAAGCCCTTTAAATCCCTGAATGGTACATGCCATTCATAGTGGGACAGAGTATAGAAATCTCAGGATTTGCATGCCACCTCAAATACAGGCTTATAGTGCTTGCGGCTGATGGCCCGGAGCCCTATTAAATAACTTTTAATAGGTAACACTTTAAATAGAGTTACAGTACTTACTGTGCACATTTTCTTATAAACATGCCAAGGAGCTCCCTAAACCTGAGCAGCACTTTCTGGACTAGAACCTCTAATTCCTTCTATTTGCTGTTATTGCATAAAACATAACATTATGCTGACTTTTGAAATTCTGATTTGTACATCTCTACACAATGCAGTGCTAGTACTCTTAATTTTCAATATTAAGCAGCTTTTTTTAAAAGATGCTAAATAAATGAATACTAATAACAAGACAAACACCACTACCAAGAACAAAATGATATGCAGTCAAGATAATTTAGCCAAAGGTTCCAATGAACACTTCAGTCTTCCAAGGAAAAGTAATAAATTCCCATACAAGTCCCCTCCCTCCAGCATGGACAGAAGGAAAAACTATGGCAATGACAGTGTGTGGCTTGGGGCTAAAGCTACCTTCAAGATTTTATAGAATATGTCTCTTTAAACCATATGATTGTCCACAACACAAGAGAAATCCATCAGAAACCTGGTAAAAATAAGATGAGATTTAATTTAATTTCATCTGTGAAATTTCAGATTTGTGTTTACAAGTGTTTATCAAATAGAATGACATTCACAGCAAATGGCTAAATCTCCTTTATAAGCATTTAGCTTGACCTCACCCTATATACTGTAAATAAACAGCACCCTAATCCATTAACTTGCCAAATGAAATGCAGAGAGAGTTCTATATTACAGAGTGACAAATGTTGCTTTTCAATTGATAAGAACTTAAAAAATAGAAAACACATCAACAGGTAGAATAATGCAGAAACCAAATTAAAGATCAAAATCAAATGTCTGCCTGGAACTTCAGCACAGTCAGATGCGTAATTACCAGTTACAAAACGCTTACCTGGAAGCAGCAAAGAAACTTGTGATTTGGTAACCAAAGCTGGCATAATATGCATGTTCCATTATAGCCATCATTTGAATACAGTTGTATCCTGCAAAACAAACATAAAACATGCTAATAATTACTTATGAATGACAGATCACTGGTTCTTCATACTGTACATAACCTTGAGCTTTCTGTTTTAGACTTAATTCATATAATAGCAGAGCTGTAGAAAACATGAAAAGCAACAAGACAACCTACAAACAACAATCACTGGTTCTCCATACATAATATAACTCCCAAAAAATTGGTTTGGAAGGTTAAATAGTATAATTTTATTTCTCAACATTTTGCTAGTAGCAAACTGCAAAGAATAAGGAAAATCAGTAGTCTTTGTAAACACAGCTCAGATGAGAAGTGACAGATTCAGGGCAGCATTCCTCAATGCAAACAGTTGGGGAAAACTGGAAATGTCTGGTCATACTTTTCCACATACTGTACATTACAGTATTGTGACTGATTTAATTTTTAGAAAACACTCAGACTGAGGGGGATATACTCCTTACAGACTGTCAGAGAAGACTTAAAAAGAAACATATGTGACTACCAGGATCAATAATGTCATTTTCAAAAAATAAAATGTATTGTACAGCCCTTCATACACAAAAAAGGTTAATTTTTCTTACTACTGTCTTCAATGTAGGTATACAGTAAATATGGAATTGGTGTGGGTGTGAAAAGTTATTCAAAAAGCAAACAGGTTTTCAGCTTCTTTTATTATCATATTCAAGTAACAAAGACCATTATAAAACCAATTAATATATTTCTAGATGACGCAAGAAAAAAGTACACAGTCTATAGTCAGAAACTTGGGAATCTCAAGTTTTAATGTACAAATTCTCCCAAGGACAATGTAATGTGGTCACAGCAGATCACACTTTCATTCCTCAACACATCAAACGTTTGGATACCATTCTGTATTAAAATCAGAACCATTCATGATAAAAAGTGTAGCATTGTTCTGATGTTAAGGTTGAATAGAAAAGCAGCATGCACAAGTTAAGTAGACATTTACTGTAGACACAGGCTGAATCAAAACATCAACTCTCTCTCTAATCACAGATCCAGTACTTGAAGACCTGTTCCCTTTTCTCTGAAACCCGTCATCAAATACTGCATTTGGGCTTTAAAAATGATGTCTATTTTAAAAAAAAATGTATTTGGGTATTACTGACAGACTGCACATAAACTTATGCAAGGGGATGGAGAGCATCTTTCTTGTTGTTCCCCTCAAGGTACTTATATACAGAAAGGGGAAAAAAGTTAATTGCTCCAACTTAAAAGAAACATTTTATCTGTTCATTTATTTGCTTAAGTGGCCATGCTGGGTTTGAGGCTAGTTTAGATGATTCCAAGATTACAGTCTAAATCCGTCATTACAGACCCCAATCTGCATGAGCCTTGGAACACCTCACCCAAATCAACATCAGCCACAGCAAGATAAAACTATAATTGGGGTCTGTGAAAGCAACTAATAATCATTAAAAAGAAGAGAGGATTATGAGCCATGATTAAATGCATTTTCTTGTAACACTTCTCCCACACTTTCACATATACCACGACTTGCTTGATTGCACATTTTGAGAGTCCTACTAATGACCTTGTATGTAGCTGACCTCAATTTTACCTGTGCAGCTTTGTAAGCATTACAATTACTGCATGCTTTCTTTCTGTTTAGGTTCATGTAATAAGATATTGACAATTTTAATTTGAAGAAGGTGTTTTTGTACCCTCAGATTGCTCATAGTCACACCAATATAATTGCAGTTAAAATGTTATTAAGCACAAGATTCTTTTATTTTCATATTTTTGTGATGCCATGAGAGTAGCTTTTATATTTCTCTTAAGAAATCTCCAAATGTATTTGCTGTTAATAGCAACAAATCCATCATGTGTTTAAGCAGGTACTGCAAACTCACTTTCATTTAACCTACATACTGTAGATACTCTCTTGTTCATCATACAGAATACCTTCTATGACTATTCTCCTAAGTACCTGCTTCTTAATTTTAATAGTCCCAAATCACTTAAAAAAAGCTTTTCCAACAGTACTGGTCATTGTGGGACACAAGCAATATCTGTCAACAAGTCATGTGCACACAGAGGCTTTCAAATCCCCTACACCTTTAAATGGAAGACAAAACACAGCCAATGTGAAAAACGCACTCTTTGACAGTTCTTTGAACCACACTTGAAGTCTCGGGTGTCTTTTCAGCAGACTATGTCTTTATTCTTTATCAGGCTTAAAAAGTTTTGCTTTGATAACCTGTGACAGAATTTCAAGGTGAAAATGAGTTCTCCTTTTGTTACTCGGCTGCTTCTGTTTCCTTCTTCAAGAAGCTCCATGAAATGAAATGCAGAAGAGATGCCAGGATACAGAATACCAGGGAACCTTGGAGCTTAGCTCATTTGAAGATCCTATACTGTGGGTTGCTTGAGCAAATACAGTTGTGTCTCTTGAACAGAATTGCTTCAATAAAGCTGCCTTTCCTTCTCTCACATCACATACAGTATAACCCTAAGAAAGACTTAATCTTTTTATCAACATTGTTAGAGGACATCTGTGGTCTTTAATTCCATTAAAGAACCAGTTGCTGCTATAATATGTAAAAATCCATCAATTGCACTCTTGAGCAAACTATAAAGGAAACAGCATGAAAAAGTATGTGTACAAAGATGTATACTTTATAAACCACAATATTAATACACTAAATATATAATATACAGCATGCTGTTTCACCAAAAATTGACAATATACTGTTTTTAATGTGGTTCGGTCCACATCCTCTGAACTGAATTGTGCACTCAGATATGGGTCCATTCACCACATAGAGGCCAATAAATCTCTTCAGTAAATGTGATTCCACACACATTTTCACATGTGCTCAATGGGATTAAGATCTGGGTACTGTAAACCCCTTGGACTGCATGAATTGACATGAGACATTTTTGTTTCAGTATGAACTATCATGCCACTTGAGGTGAGGGCACATACAACAGCCTTCTTTCACAAGGAAACCAAGGAAAAGTGGTCTACTACTAGTTCTCAAGAAGTATTGAACATACCTATTCAGGAAACTCCTATGATGCTAGATGGGTTGAGTCGCTCTTACAGAACATTTTATTTTTTGGTAGGACAAGGTTTTAATATTCATAGTCATGATATCAGCAGTTTCCATCACTGGTTCTGAATTTAATCCTAACAAAACCCTAAATTACTCAATTTGACAAAATACTGCCTTCATTAGATAAAATTAAATTAATCTTTGATGGTAGACATTCGTATTAAGGCCAAAAATGGGACCACCAGGACTAGGGTAAGTCACTCCTTGTGTAGCACAAAAATGTTAAAATAATTTTGAATACCAAAAGATAATATAAAGATATATACTGTACAATATTTACTATTAATTAATCAAGAATACAGTGGATAGTTTTCAAAATATATTTGCAGGTTCACATGAATCTCTGTTACCCTATGCTGCCACATTACCTATAAAGTACTACTTGCAGAAGTGCTAAAATATTATGGCAAGAAATATCAGCTACATTATTTTAATTTTTGTCTTTACTTCTGACCTCTTAATTCTAAATATGAGGTATTTACAGTAAATACTTAGGTACCTTGAGGTACCAGCTTTTTAAAAGTTAAACAAAACTAGCACCTCTGGTAACAAACAATGCAATGATGTATGCTAAACTAAAAATGAAGTATTCATAGCAAATTTCAAATGTATGATGGCTGTGAATTTAGGCTTCTGAGACTGAAGCACAAGCTTTCTGTAATCTCAGTCAGAATCAATGCTATAACTGTTTCACCCAGCCCCATAAAAAGAGACACACAGAGCAAAGAAGGATTAAATGTCGGCACAAGTTCATAAATGAGTTTTACTATGGGATTAAAAATCCACGGCTGCAGGTCTATGAGTACGTTTAGCAGTTCTGAAAGATAATTGGGGTGACTACAGCATCCGCTAAAGGCAAAGACCTTAATCACACCAGCTTCTCTCACCTTCTGCCAGGCATATCAAAAGCTAGCGCATATTCCTCTTTAAAGCTGATGTTTGACTTCTGTTACGCTTTATTTAATAAAACTCTTCAGAATCCTAACACACATATCAGGCAAAACACTGCTGTGATGCTCTAACACTGCTCTAACACTGGGTTCTATAACCCATGACACTGAGTTATACTTGAATTTTCCTTATCATTTTTATTATTCCTTTTTTTGTTTTTATCCAAACCAGTTTACAGTTGTGTTCATTTATATAGTTGTGTATTTCACCAGAGCAAATAAATAAAAAAAATTATTTAAAACGTGTTAGAAAATCTTTTTCAAATCTATGTTACTTCCAACAACATGATAAATAGTATATTAAACAAAAGCTATGTTATAAAATTCATTGTTTTAACCTGTCAATGTTAAACTGTTAATGGGTTTAGCATTAAATTATCATTTAATGTGATTACATTTTTACAATTTAAAAAGCATTTATACTAAAAAACACCACAGCCTACTAAGCATTTTTAGCTTATGTAGTCTTTTTGATAAAACTTTTCTATAGTAATATGGAAACAAGGGATTATGATTATTAAAACTGATGCTTGCAAATTTCAGAATATTTTTAATTTGCCACAATCTTACTCCATCCAGGCATTGATATCAGTCTTAAAGAGGTGGAAAATACATTGTTAAGTGTTAATTGCTCAGGTGATTTAGATTACTGAAGTAAATGAACATTTAAAGGATACCTAAGGAGTTCTAATTATATTTACTGGCACCCCATTTGCACTGTTAATTAAAATCTATTGCTAACTCAACTGCTAACCGAAACCACTGCTACTCAGTTGGATGAATAGGTGTTCAATACACATCAAAAAGATATGAGTGATACAGAAGCATAGTTCAACATGAATTATTCAATTAAATTAGTGAACATATTTATCAAACTAAGAGTTTCATTTTTTGTTTTTTTGTCAAATATACTGTAGGTTAAGATTTCCTTTATATTTTGGTGTTAATACTCTGATCAACTATATTGATCACAG